GAAACGAAAATGATGTTCATACAGACCTTCTCGATGTGTGACAGTGCCTGTGAAAGTGAATACACTGAATCCAGTACATGTGCTTTGTATTACTTGTTCTTCTAGTGTTCGCGATACGGTTTGGTAGAGAGTGACAAGACTTTCAAACCAGCCTGTACTTTCGAAACTGCCTTCGTACGCGGTTACTATTAATTTTTTAATACAGTGTAACCCGGATAGAAGAGAGATTTTCTCTGGTCCCAAATTAGAGCCTGTGTTAATGTATATAAAATAGACCAAACCCGGATATAAGAGACTTCTTCTCCGGTCCCGACAACTCTCTTATATCCGGGTTACACTGTAGTATTTTTCCATGTTTCATTTCAGTATTTTATTATTTCCAACTCAACAAGCTGCATAAATGCTATAAAATGCACCCGAAATTAAGATGAAAAGAAATACTAGTACAGATAGATAAAATAATTGCAACATTTTGATGCTTTTAAAACTATATCTTCACAAAAATAAAATATTTGTAATTGTATATAAATGAATAAAAATCAAATCATCACAGAGACGTGAATTGTGAGCAGTAAAAAAAAAAAAAAAAAAAAAAAAAGAAAACATTCTGTTTCATTTCCCGTGACTAAATTATTCTATAATAGCTATTATACCACTCACCAAAGTTATTTACGTTGAAACTAGTTTTACTCTCCGAAGTCTCGTTTGCTTTCTGCAATGTTCATTTTTCCCTCTAAAAACGTTAAATTTCCGACGCTAGGTTCGTTCAAGTTAATTTGGAAACGCCGAATGAGTTGGTTCGTGACAACCTAATCGATGATTTGTTCACCAGTATAGACAAAACTCAATTCGTTTTATAAGTACACATTAAAAATATATATCTATATGTATATTATATTTTATATTGGTCCTGGAGAATCCAAAATGGCGAATACAATGTTAATTGCTATGATGTTGGCGAATTTTTACAAGCCTTCAAACGAAGCCCCATTCAAATTGGACATAGGAGGACGTAAGTAAAATTTATTTACTTCCAACAAGATTATACTACAAATTATTCAATATAAAAATATTGTATTTAAAATATTAAAGATGAAATATATTGATTAGCAAACTGCTATAGTTGATTATTACTGTTGAATAGTTCGATTTTCACTGAGTGCTTCGTACTTGTTCTAAATTACTTATTTATATTCGGATTAATGTCCTCATCTTTGTTGTTAATATCACAACGTTTCGTCCATTATGACCTCTGGTCTTCTTCAGGTGTCTGAACCATTTATTTCATCTACGGAAGTAGATTGTTCTCGTTCTCTTGTATGCGTTCGTCTTGTTTTTTTTTTTGTTTTTTTTCTTCAGTACTCTTCACTCTTTAGTTATTGTTAGTCCTGTTTCCACTGAGTCGGAACTACCCGGCCCAGGGATTGAACTCACAGTTACTATGCCAACGAATCTACGATCCAATCTTCTAGGCTATTGGTCCGACTGTATTGTAAATAATGATCATTATCATCCCATATCTTCAGACAGAAATTAAGCTAAATTTATAAAAACTGGTAATTTTTTTTTTACACTATTTACATTGTTCGGACTGTTGTCCTCATCTTTATTGTCATATTCACGACGTTTCGGTCGTTGTACGCTCCAACCTTTTTCAGGTGATATACGTTGGAACCCTTTATTTAGTCCATGGGAGTAGGTTGTTCTAGTTCCACGTTCCATGCCTTTTCTGGATACCTCAGCTTCAGTTATTTCCTTTTAGCAACTCAACTCTCCAAGTTTTTGTTGTGACCAGGTATTGGACTTACAACTCTTTGGGTCAAGTCACTTTTGGATTACTTAAACCAACGCCTTTATTCACTGTGCCATGAGTCCTTGAGGATACATTACCCAAAGAAGGCCGGAGCGTACAACGGTCGAAACGTCGTGAATATGACAATAAAGATGAGGACAACAGCCCGAACAATGTAAATAGTTACAATACCTCATCTATGGAAGATTTAATCATCTCCCCATGGTGGTAGAATGTGGTACATGGTCGGTTTAATTACGGTGTGCCCATACCCGTACATATGGAACAAAGACAAATTTCACAGTACCCCACCGCGCCCATTGTCACGCTGGCGTCGGTATTCTACCGACCCTCGCATTTTTTTAGTGCAATAGAGAAGGTGTGGTCGCAGGATTGAAATCTCAGCAACCAGGCATCGTCTCCGTAGACTAAAGAGCAGAACAGATACCACACCTTGATCCCAGACTGAGAATTATGCTCATTCAAGCGGAATGTAAGCACAAGGCTAAATTCAAAGTTTGGTTTCTAAGTGGGAGGCCCGCGCGGAACCAGAGCCCCCAAATAATCGCGTCCTTTCTACATTTCTCCTTTTGGGAACAGCTCAAGCGCCAGGTAATGACCCTCTCTTCCCGAGGAAAGGTATTACCTAGAGAAACAAGGCTTTTGAGTTAATGTGCACTTCTCAGGCCAAGAGACCGAAAACGAATGTATTTTCCTGCCGCCCCATACTACAGGATGTAACACAAGGTCAGTTTAATGTGGGGAGCCCGAGTGCGTACACCCAGGCCAGGTCCCAAAATAGACCAGCCCCCGCAACCATCGGTTGGACTGGTCTCGATATTACTACTTATCTTCCTTCTTTAGTGCAAAGAGTGAGGCATTGCCATGGGCAGCTGTTATGATAATAATTTCAGTTGCGCTCTGGTCAAAGACGTACACAATTGAGAGATGAAATGTAGTTTGCCCAAGGGTAGATACGACATTTTGATCCCAGCCAAGAGCTCAAGAAGCGGTATTTTTTAGCGTGCCCACGTTTTGAACTATGTGACGTGAACTTTTCACGCTGAAGCAAAAAAGGGCTGTGAATGCTTCAGGCTCAAACACACCAACACAATAAGTCCTACTTAGATATATTCATGAACATTTCGTTGTGTATGCAATTTACTTCAAGGAAAAGAAATTCTTTGTTTTAAACTTTCCTTTTGTTAATTTTGTTTAATAAATGCTATTTTGCATTTTAAATTATTCGGTCTGTAATTTTGCGTATCTACCCTTTTCACCACGATCATTTCACGTAAAATAAAATATTCCCGTAAGAAACATTACACTTTTATTTTTGAAGTAGCCAACACACTAAAAGCACAATATTTCATGAATGTTATGACCATGTGTTGATGATAATTTTTTCACCATTTTAAACCATTGGCGATTTTCACTACAGAAGTCACGCATGCAAACTTCATAATATTTTTTCTCTGGAGAAGAAATATACTTAAAAAATTGTTTGCATATTTAAATGAATAACTTGGAAATAAATCGCATAGAAGGGCGTGTGTTAATCGCACTTGTAAACAGGAAGATTATTATTTATTCTGTAGGATTATTATTGTTGTTGTTGTTATTATAAACAAATAAATAAATAAAATAAAAAATAAACATAAAAAATAAATTACTCGCAGCATGCAACAAAAACTGTTACTGTCGGAAATACGGACATCCCGCCAAAAGTCGTTATATTCAATATCTTCGCTCAAGAACCGTCAGGAAGACAACACGTGTCTAACTTCCTTTTGTGATATGACTTGTAATATTACAAGTAAATTGCTCCCTTTTTGACATGTACATTAGCACAATTGTAACGTAAAAGATTACACACACACAAATATATAAATAAATTGTATGGAATTACCATACAATTAACCAAGCCTAAAATTCACACTACTATGGTGTGAGTGAATACCCCACAACTTTATGATGATCACTTACGTGTACAAGAAAAACTTACAACTGACCACAATACCAAGTCTTTGGAGAAAAGATTATTTCTATAACTAAACTCCGAAGAAAAAATATATCGTATTTTCACCATTCCTAAGGCATGGGATTACGCGTATGATCCTTTGTGGTAGAAATGTTTGCGGTATCGTCGTTTAAAAAGTCAATCAGCTTGAATTTTTAGTTGTACGGTGCGCGTTATGCTAAACTATATCCGGTGCCGCCCACTACTTGAAAAGGGATGCCGATACCTGCTCGAATTAGACATTTCTTATCGGGCAGAAAAAAAAATTCTTTTATTTCTGTCATTTATGAAAATGTGTTGATCATTTCGACTTGGTGTAATGCTTAGCAAGCTTGTCTCGTTAGATCAATCACGGCTGAATAGTTCGAGCCTCGTTGGGTGCCTCACGCCTCCGGCCTTGTGCCATGTCTAAGCTATGCTTAGAAAATCACCATTTATGAAAATGGGTTGCTTTTCCATTATTCCCCTGCCCGATAAATGTTTTCCGTTCAAATAATTCTGAATTTCTGATGTGAATGCTGAATATTTCTCTCTTCTTGTGGTGTGTTGGCAACTTCACCGTGTGTATAAAAAAAAACTAATTGCTGTTGCAGTTTTTTTGTGTATTCTTTACTAGTGAGCCAGTCAAAATGAGCTGACTCATTTTATAGTTCACCAATAGAAGGGTTAACCAATCAGAAAGCTCAAAATATTCAATGCGACGTGTATAAAGGTAGCCATTTTTTTCTCTCCCAAATTGTCTGCACTGCCAACCTGATATCAAAGACTTAAAGAATTACTTAACAACCGCTACTTTCTCTGAATCTTCACTGCCGACCTCTGATATTGAACAGATTACGGACTTCACTGGATTCCATATTCGGAGACTGCGGCAAACATGGTGAACACTTGCCACGGAAACTACAGCAGTAACACCTTCTTAGTGCCTTGAGACGGCGCCCCGACCCTCTGCCCTGTTGTGTCTGTTAGTATTAACAAAGAGGATGCACCCCCACACCAACTATCATTTCTGGGCGCTTCCGGCCTCGTGACGTGTCTTTTTTTGCAATTCGACTGCTCATTTTTTTCTTTAATGTTTCTGCTTTTGAAAGGACAATACCAAACCAATTTTGAAAGGACAACACCAAAATATTTCTCTCCGATTTCCAATTCCGAGCCGTTATCCATTACACTACCTGTACATCCAAGCTTACAGCACCTAGTATTTCCAAGATGGTCACCCATCTAAGTACTGATCAGGCCCGACTTTGCTTAACATCGGTGATTGTACGATTGATTGATTTTTTTTCTTTTACGGCCTATCAACCTTTTGCAGATAATTTAAAGCTAGAAAATATTATTAGATTGTAAATGTTTTGGGAGATAATGATTTACTGATACAAGTCATACTAATTAACCCATAGCTAGGGGAAAAGAGGTGGGTTCATATCTTTCCCAAGCGTATTTGCGGATAAGTGAAGGTAGCGAACCAGACCAAAATTGGAACTGTGCTCTCAAATTTCCAATTCCTAGGCTTTATCCATGATCCCATCCGCATACGCAAGCTTACAGCACCTGATATTCCCAAGCGGTCACCCCAGTGATCGTGCGAGAACCAGGATTTCAAAGTGATATAGCCGTAAACCTCGATGATAGTGGAAACCACAAATAAAAAGTCTGTGCGTTTATTCCTTTCATTTACGTATTTTAAACATTTCCTGCCATTTAGAGTTTCAGGTGGACACATAAGAATAATACAAGATGTCCATAAGGTATCTTTATAATTTGAAGAAATTATTACAAAAGCAAATATACTAAAAAATATGTGGAAATTGTTACAAAATGAGAAGTAGATATTGAAGTTTGTTTTTCAACGAATTTCATCCACCTCTATATAGGAACCATTATTTGCAGGAAGCACATCAAGACGGTACTCGATTTCTTGCCGTTGTTCGATGCAGAAAAAACCTCATCAATTGTTTATCATTTGGCTTGAATGCCTGTAAAAGTTGCATTTTGTAAACGACCAATCACAAGTACGTGTCTACAAAAGAACTTGTGATTGGTCGTTTTTTGAACGTGGCAGATGTAACTGTCTGGCAACTCTGATCACTCTGTAATCGGGTGAAAGTTCAATTTTTTTTCCATGGTTCACACCAACATGTTTATTATTATTATTATTATTATTATTTCCGGCTATACCAGCATGTCAGTTCCGAGCAAAACAGACACCTATGCGTGGTTGCACGGAATAATTGTAAACGTGTTCTCGAAGAAGCTAAGTCTTTATTTGCTGAGAGAATGAGGCGCCGTATTGCAACTAACAAATTTGATTCTTGCGATTACTAGTGACTCTAATAGTATATTAAATAAGAGTAAGTTTTCTATTCCTCCTCTCTTCAATCAATTTGATGTGTTAACATTTTCTGCTGATAAAACTGAATGTTTCACCCGTAAATTCTCTTTAAACTCTTCTCTTGACTCATCTGGAGAATCCTTTCCTAACTTTCCACTTAGAACTGAGTCTCTGTTGAGTGATATGCATATAACCTCTTGCATGGTGTATGAAGTCATCTCTAATCTGGATCCCCACAAAGCATGTAAACCTGATGGTATCCCTGTAATGGTCTTTTAGAAGTGTGCTCTCAGACTAGCTACTGTTCTCTCTAAAGTGTAGAATAAATGCCTCGCTGCCTCTTTCTTTCCTGCTTGTTGGAAATCCTCATCTGTTGTTCCGGTCTTTAAGAACTCAAGTGAACTGTCTGACCCTTCCAACTATTGACTTATTAGCTTTCTACCTCTTTTTGGCAAACGACTAGAGACCATAATTAGTGCTGAATTAGTTAAGCATCTCACAATTTAGGTCCTTCTTTCAGACAAGCAATATGACTTTCTTTTCTTTAGGTCAACTGCTGATGTATTAACGATTTTTATGGAAAGAATCTATCAAGCTTTAGATAAGAATGGTGAAGCTCAGGCTGTTGCTTTGGACACCTCAAAAGCGTATTGACAGAGTTAGATGGGACCCTAACAGTTGCTACCACCCCGGTTCAGGGCGGACCTGGGAACACCAGCAATTAAGAGGTTGTTCTATGCTCCTCAAAACCTCTTGATCAAAGGCCTTGCTGTCGGATGTAGTTTATCGTCATACCCAGGACGGTATTCAAACTGTCGTAAGTGATAAACCAATAATCATGTCTGTTGGCCATATCATATAATTCCGTTTCACTGTCGTTCAGTTTTTTCTTCTTTTTTATATGAGAATTGCCTCTCATTGGTTGAGAGTAAAGGACAAACAGAAAGAAAAGGATATGTGGATTATTAAGGAAAGCAAATGTCTTATTTTTATTTTTAAGATTTTATTTTTATATTTGGGTACGTCACACCATCACTAAAATAGATGAAAATTCGTAATCGCCAGACCATGGTGTCATATTTCCACGAATTAATAAGAAACGGTCCCAACAATGATATGACGTCATAGTCTGGTGAACTAATCAAAAACGACATCGACTTGAACGCCTATTGGGACTCAAACTCACTCCAGACCTCAAGTGGAACCTATATATACAATCCATGGCTAAAGATGCTGAGACGATTGCCGGCTTCTTTTACCGCTCCAGTATCTGATTCCCATTCCTGCTGTATTCTGTCTTTACAAGAGTCTGATCACATAAAAAATGGAGCATTACTGCCATATCTTGGCTGGCGTTATATACTTGTTTGTATGGATATAGTTCAAAAGCATCTACGCGGCCTTGTAAGCGATGAAATATTTTCCACCCGACAATCCCTTCGTTACAGAGGAAATGTCAGCAACCTCTCGCTGCTTTATCGCTATTTCCATGACATGTATTCTCACGCACTACATTCATTTGTCCCACGACATTTGACCTTTACAACTTGAACTCTCCATGCCACGTACACAAATGTGAATCATTCCTATTCCCTTTGAATTCCATTAGCAAGAAGTAAGTTCCATTCGGACAGATTCTTCCCAAGAACTGTTGCTTTGTGGAACAGACTCCCGGCAGGATGTTTTCCCAATCACTACAATCTTGACCTCTTCAAGTCTAGGTTTAACAGTTATTTTTCCTACATAATTCTTTCTTATGCCCAAACAACACCATCAAGTAATCCTCTGTCTGGAGTGGCTCTCGGGCATTGTATTGTTAACATTAGTATGCCTTATAAAAATATTTTTAAAGGAAACCAGCAAGTCATAGTTGGGCGTGGCAAGACTTTCACTGCTTTATCGCTACTTCCATTAAAGGTTCTCAGACGAACTGCATTCCTTCCCGGTTCTGTCAGTTAAAACCTTCACTGCTAGAACAATGCCACTCACATTGTAGCAAACCACATTCTTTCTCTCCGTATTCCTTTGGTGAGAAGTAAGTTCCACTCGAACAGTTTCTTTCCGCGAACCAATACTCCGTGAAACCTACTCCCAAGAGGATGTTTCCTCGATCGTTATAATCATAACCTGTTCAAGTCTAGGATTAATCATTATCTTCCACACCTATCCGTATAAAATATGCTTCTTACTCTATAACCCTCTGCCTTGAGTAGCTCCTGAGCCTTGTAAAGGGTGAACCTCGCTGTAAAAAAAAGAAAAAAAAAAAAAGAAAGGTACATGTCATAATAATTCTAAGTTGGCTTTTGGAATAAAAAAAAATGAAAACAGATAACAAAAATGCAACATGAGCAACAGATAAGCTATATTGCGCTATTGCGCTCATTGGTGAAGCACAGTTATTAATCCGTGTATAAACTTAAACCTTATTAAACGTTGTGTATATTAGATGCAGATTTTACAACAACAACAAAAAAAAAAGATGATGCTTTGTCTCCATACGTTCTGCATGATGGCATCTCAACAATATTGCCAATGATATTAAAGAGAATCTGATTTCGCAGTTACTTGGTGCTTACGCGTTACAAACAGAAGAATTTACAGATATTGCTGAACTGGGAGAGCCTGGCAGCCATATGATCCAAATGGAGAGGAACCCTGACCAAACACCTCAAGTCAAGGGAGGAGAAGCTGACACAAGTCGCCACGGAAAGGCGAGTCCGCAGACGTCGATGCTCTAGCCAAGCAGGCAACTAGGATGGTATCCATGGTCAACCCTGACCGACGGAGGCCTACACTACACTGAACTGGCAATTTTAATTGGTCTTACTCGATAGAATACGCTGCACCAGAGGTAGTTTCGTTCCAAACCGCAAATTGCTGCAAAACCAAAACATTAACCTGAAAACTCGAATCTTAAATAGCTTCGTCAGATCGAGATTTTCACCTGGATGTCATGCGTGGCGCCAAAACCCGTTCAGAAATATCTAAACTCTCAGTTGTATACAAAAGCTTTTTAAAATCACAATGTTGACATTCCGCACAACTTCAAATAAAAAGGTCAGCAAGGAAAAACCCATCAATACCAGAAAGAGCGATAACAGCTACTGGTCTTGAGACACCTATTTACCTGAAATATTGTTTTAAGAGAAAGATTTTATAAATTTCATCCGACATGTCAAATGTTACCTTGTAGGGGAACGACTAATATTAAAATTTCCAATACCATTAAGAAAAGGAAAGATTTACTTTTAGATTTGATTGATTGTTTTTTTTTAGGCTTATCAACCCTTTGCGGGTTATTTACAGCCAAAACATTTTTAGATTTTAATATTTTGTTTTGGACATAATGATTTTAGCGATACAAATCTAACTAATTAACACATATCTGGGGGAGAAGAGGCGGATTCATACCTCCCCTAAAGGTATATTTGCGCATAAGTAATTATAACGAACCTAACTGAGATTGGAACTCGGCTCTCCGATTAAATATTCCGAGCCATTCATTACACCACCTGCACATCAGAAGCTTACAGCACCTGATATTCTCAAGCGGACGCCCATCTAAGTACTCACCAGGCTCGACGTTACTTAACTTTGGTGATCGTACGGGAACCGGTGTTTCATCGTGATATGGCCATAAAAGTTTAAAACGCATAGAACATAGAGCAGTTCCTTATTATGGTGGTATTTGGAAAGAGGGAATATTTCCAGTTGCCTCATTATAGATTAATCACCATATCCGTGGTATATTAATATCTTAACACGGCGAGAGTAAGGGCCAGAATGGCTGAAAAGGAGGAATAATACATATGCATTATTCTCAAAGAGATTTTTCTTCTGTATTGCGTTTCTTCTTCATTTCTCCACCAGTCTCTCTCACTTCTCCTTTTTATTCTGTCCACGTGGATAAAAAAATATATAGAACGATGGTTTCGAGCGGGTGGTTGACAATGATAAATTTATCCGAAAAAAACTGGAAATGAATGCGTGGAGACACCGACTCAGAGACGCATTTTGTAATTTGACTTCGAAGCCCAGCAAATGTAGGAAGTATGACAAGTGCGATGTCACACAAAAACTTATATACAAATGTCGTATCCTGTCGACACTCACATTTTTGACTAGGACCAAAGAGTAGCCGACTCACAGCACCAACCATTAGCAGCAGTTCCAGCTAACCAGTCATCATCATTTCCAGATCGCCATCGACCGCCGTTCCAGCCGTCTCTAGTAGGCTTCCAGCTCCCGCCTCTCCAGTCATCTACAGTTCCAGACATTCTCACCGGCAGCAATGATATGCAATAAACTGTCCTTTTCAGGACAACGTTCTCTAGCGATGAGGAATTATGTACATTATTTACATTATTCGGACTATTGTCCTCATCTTTGTCGCCATATTTATTACAACGTTATTACAATTGTGCCATGTGGATAAAGGCGTTGGTTAGATCCAGTGACAGGACCCAGAGAGTGTTACTTCAATACCCAGTTAAGGTAGTGGAGAACTTTCAGAGGGAAATTAACAGGAGATAACTGATAACTGACATCCATTAAACGTGGCACGTGGAACTAGAACAGTCTACCCCAGTGAGCGAAATAAAGGGTTCGGTTTGACATTCCAACCAACTGAAGAAGGCCGGAGCGTACAACAGCCGAAACGTAATAAATATGGCGACAAGGATGAGGACAATAGTTCGAATAATGTAAATAATGTTCTCTAGCGACTATAAAACTGTTCTTTTCATCAGGACAACGCTCTTCAGAAATTACAAAATTGTCCTCTTCACACCCTCTACATGAGTATACTGAGATATTTTTGCTTAGTGCACTGTAACCTTATTTTTGTTTCTTTAACGAAAATAAACTTGGTAATATATATTTAAAATATGAGAGTGCCGGCAGGATAAGGTACAAATATATATATATATATATATATATATATATATATATATACCTGTCACTATTTCTCCCACACAGAGAAACTATAACATAAATGGATAAAACAAGTTGTGTTAAAGGGGAAAAAATCGAGAGGGTGGTGTTGTTTATGTTCTTTGCTGGGACCACGTGATTTCCTTTGTTTACCCTCTTGTGGGATACTAGTATGTTTGGGTAAATATTAGTCACCGTTATGTTGCGTGTATCACTTCTTTGGTTGTGATGCGTATCGATATTTTATATTAAATATTTATGGGCTCCTGAAACATTTATCCCTCAAGCAATATTGGCGGACACAATATGAGTCTGGGTAAAAACTCGATATACAAAACAGGGAATATAAAACAAATGACAATGAATGTTATTAACAAGGAATTACATAGTCTGTCTATATTTCTGAGATGAGGTATTATGTACATTATTAGCACTATTGTCCTCAACTTTGTCGCCATATTTATCACAACGTTTCGGCCGTTGTACGCTCCGGCCTTCTTCAGGTGGTTGGAATTTCGAACTAAACCCTTTATTTCGCTCACTGGGGTAGACTGTTCTAGTTCCACGTGTCATGTTTGATGAATGTCAGTTATCAGTTCAATACCCGGTTAAGGCAGTGGTGGACTTTCAGAGGGAAATTAACAGGAGGTAACTGATAAATGACATCCATCAAACATGGAACGTGGAACTAAAACAGTCTACCCCAGTGAGCGAAATAAAGGGTTCAATTCGAAATTCCAACCACCTGAAGAAGGCCGGAGCGTACAATGGCCGAAACGTTGTGATAAATATGGCGACAAAGATGAGGACAATAGTCCGAATAATGTAAATAAGGAATTACATGTGTACCCAATTGTAATAAAAGGAAAAGACATTAAAACTAATTATAAAAGTGTGTGTGTCTGTGTGTGTGAGAGAGAGACAGAGACAGAGAGAGAGTGTGTGAAATAAACGTTTGTGATAGACACGTGAAACACGCATAGAGAATTTCACTCGAAAATATTTCTATGTAATATTTTTTAGATTTATATAGAAAGATACACTGGAAATTATCGTATGTAAGATATTTTTCTTCTTTTTACTATTGTTCCCCAATGCAAGGCTCAAGAGCCACTCAAGGTATAGGCTTACTAAATGCGGTAAGATCGTACCGGGGGAGGAGCAAAAGATTCATATTAGAAGGATATGTAGGATAAATAACCATTGGCCCTAAATTTGAAGAGGTCAAGACAGTAATGATCGTTGAAGCTTCCTCTCGGGAGTGCTTTCTCCTATGTGACAGTTGTGGGAAAGAAGCTGACTGTATGGAACTTCTTCCTCCCCAATGGAATATGAGGGAAATGAGAATGGGTCGACGTGACCTGGCGAGTCCGAACTATGGAGGCCTGAACTAGTGGCACCAAGGAATATAGTTCATCCAAATATCTGCCATGGAAATAGCGATAGAGTAGCGAGAGGCTAGCAACGTTTCATCTGTGGAAAAGGAGTTGTAGGCTGGAAAAGATTTCATCACCCACAAGGCCGCGTAAACATTTTTGAACTCCGCGGAGTAATACTCCATTTGTAGTCTGATCTGGCTATTGTAAAGACAGAGCAGGGTAGGAGGAGTCAGGTACGTTCTTCAGCGGTACAGTAAGCCAACCATTTCCCCAGCATCTTTAGTGATGGATCGTAAACAAATATGTCAAAGAATATATGTGCGTGTGTGCGAGAGTTCAAAAGTCAACAGAGGACCAAGGAAGCGAACGCGCCTCGTCGGCAGCGTTCTTTATCGACTACATCTGGAAACAAGAGAAACCGAGATAATATAATTACATTTTATAGACAAAGATTGCCCCAGCAGGCGTTTTGGCAAAGCCCAGTGGGATAAACTATTGTCTACCTCTGCGAGTATACGTCATTTAACTTCTTTACGGCTTATATCGCAACTCGGGTAGGGCACCTCGGCGTGGTTTAATGGTTAGCAAGCTTGTCTCGCTAGATCAGTTACGACTGAAAGTGAGTTGGATCCTCACTAGGTGTCCCATACTTTCGACCTTGTGCCACATCTAAGGTACGCTTAGAAAATAACTATATCGCAACTCGGGTTCGTTACCCCATTACTCACCGACCGTCAAGTGACCTTCATGAAGTCATTTTACCAAAAGAGAGATAATCGCTTTCTACCTACCAACAATTGCTCCAGCTTCTCACGATTTTTTAAAGGGAGATAAGCGCCTTCTGTATAATAAAATAATAAATATGAAATAAAAAGTTAATGAGTAAAATAATAAAATAAAATTTAAAAAGTATTTTTGTAAGCAACACCGTCCAAATTTGACTAAATCTTAAGCAACCACATGACTGACTTCATTTTCGCGTAAGTAACTAAAAAACTAAATGGAAAAGTCAGCGAAAAAACAAAAACTGTTAATTATTAAATACTATATTTCCTTTTGTATAACACGAAAATTTTTTAATGAAAATTAAAGGCAAAAAGGGGAGCGTATTATAAAGTTTTCAGAAACTTTTACTCAGCTTCAAAAACCTCTTATTTGAAATAACAAGATTGCAAATACACTCAGCACTAATAAAACACAAAATAGGTAGGTGTTACGTACGGAACATCAGTAGTGCAATAATCAAGAAATTGGAATTTATGTTTAAAAATAAATTATCTTTAACCTTATACAACCAATAATTTAAGAATATATTTTTTTATTCTATACATTTATGAAACTTAATAAACTTAATAATTTTATTTTTATATGGTATTAGAAGTATAAAAAAGGAATGAATTCCAAACTAGTTCTGAGTTAAATTGATAGATTTTATTTTTGATTATTTTCTTACCTGTTTGATGTCATAAAATATTTAATGGCGCCTGTAGTGAGATGCAAATTAGTATAATTTGCATATGAGCAGGTAGCTCATATGATAAACGGACACCAACTAGAAACGCTTACTTAGCAAGATACACGACACAACAATTTATTTTTTGATTTTCTTTTACGTTTTATTTTTTCTTTTTAAATCTATTTTCTTCCCGTGCCCACACCCCGGAGTTTATCTGTTTATTTTTCGTCTTTACGTTTCTCGTCCGACCTTTTTTTCCCTTTATTTATTTATTACGTGTTAATTATTTCTGTGTTTTTCATTTAAATATCCGTATAAATTCTGCGTTTTATCTGTTAATTACGTGTGTATAATATTTGTTTTTAAATTTTGTGTTTAATTTGTAATTTCTGTCCTTTTTTCCTTATTTAACGTTTTTGTTGTTGGGTTGACCGATTTTTTTATCGGCAGCCATATTGTAAATTGTCACATTTTTAGTTTCGTATTTTATTTTGTATAGCGTTTTTTTTTTCTTATTTTTCCGTTTATAACTTTTCGTTTTATTGTGTAATTTGTTGCTTTCCTGTCTGTTGTCCTTTTAATTTTTTGTTCTTTCTTCGTTTTTGTGAACCTTGTTCACATTTTCTCGTCTGTCCAATTGTTTTGCGTTTTCGTTTTATCTGTTTAAATTTGTTTTTCCTTTGGGAGAAACTTGTTTCTTTTTTCGTCTTTGTAATTTTTTTACACGTCCTTCTGTTTTACTCTCATCTGTCGATCTTTGTTTGTTAGTTAAATTTGTTGTCTCGCTAATAAGCGAAACTTTATTTTTACCTCCCCGCTTTTTTTTCCGAACTTTTGTTTGGCCTTTGTTTGTGTATTTTTTTTGTGAGCCC